GACGGCAGTCTAATTGCGTTGGCTCCTCTACCGACAGTTTAGTTTTATCATGTCTCTCGCTGGAGTTGGTCGATCGTCAGTGGTTAGTGGACCGAGGTGTGCAGCAGTCTGTCTGGCTGGAGCTGGAGGTATATAGGTATAGAGCACCCGTCTTTTATAGTTCACAATAAAAATCATATGATGCATTACTGTGACCCTGAAGATGATTCATTTGTTAGTGTTGAAACGTCAGCCGTGAATAAAAATTTATCTTGGTTTTATCTATGATTCTCTGAAATTTACTTTTGTTTGAAAGGGCGCGAATGTTATAAGTTTTGTGATTAGTATCTATGATTCGAGCAAAGAGGTCTGCATAGTGTATTTGAAAAAAAAAAATAACGAAACGCATTGCTGTAGTCCTTTTGATAGTGACGAAAATATTGTTTATACATTTCATACGTACATCATTTCATACGTATTAGGGATTGTAGGATGCTATATTGTTTGGAGTTTAAATGCTTTGAATGAAAATATATTAATATTTACGATTGTGGATTGACTTATCAAATGTCATTGATATATTGAAGAGAGATGGTTGTTGGGGTATTCGGTCAAAAGTAAAAATAAATAAATCAGATTTAGTTTTATTTATGTCGACGTATTAGCCTTAGTTTTAGGCCCAACATCAGGGCTGTTCTGACGAAAGATACCAAGAGACAGACCAAATCCTAATTCTTCTTAGGGACAAACCAAATATTATACTTAATTAAACTTAATTCTTAATAGAAGAGAAGAATTGTTGGTGTGTTCAGTCAAAAAATGTAAAAATAAATAAATTATTTTTATTTTGGCCGAGGTTTCCGCCCAAAGTTCAGGCTTTCATTAGGACTAAGAAAAGTGTATAGTACATGTGTCATATGTAGGTGAAAAGTATAGTCTGAAAAATGTAGGTAGAATAAACTAATGTAAAATAAAGTAGGTAGAATAAACTTAAAGGAAATATAAAATAACGATTAAATAGTTAGGGGTGGAAAGTAGCGGAAAGTTTGGATATTATGAATAAAAAAATAACAGTAACAGAGAACTATAAAATAAATAATAACGGGAATAAATGAAATAAGGTAACATAAGAATTGAAAAATGAATTAACAATAAAATGTAATGGAATTTTACTTTAAGTTTATTCTACCTAATTCTTTTTTAGATTATACCTTTCACCTATATATTATTATTTTCTTTTTAATGTTAATAATTTCTCATAACCATTGTTATCTGTTTTTTCTTAGTCCTAATGAAAGCCTGAACTTTGGGTCGAAACTTCAACAAAAATAAAAATAAAAATAATTTATTTGTTATACATTTTTTGACCGAACCACCCCAACCAGTCTTTTCTTCATTATTCACTACAATCAATCGTCAATCCACCATTATTAATATTTAAATTTTTTACTTAAGTCCTCTAGCTTCTGTCCCCATCCATCATTATTATTTACTTAATATACTGATAAATATATTCAGAATTTTATATGATATTTTAAATTATACGTTTAACAGTTGTGAAATTCACAAGTCGTCGTTGCATCTCTGTTCATCGCCACAACTTTCATAATTCTTGGCTATAATACTCATCATGAATAATTTTCTTGATTACCCTTTAATATGGCTCGGTAAATATTCCGTAATAGTTATATTTGCTTGGGTATTACTGACTGATAATGAATGCTACTAATCGTACAGTTGGGTATAGCCAACTCATGTTGAATAACAGCCTGGGCGTCCTTGATCTCCAATCCTACTCGGTATTTTTGGGTCAATAGTTTGATGAAACAAATTTTAAGAAAAAAAAAAAAAAGAATACGAATCTACTGTTTGTATTCAATATGAACGAGTTTCTTCATTCAGCGCTGCTTCCATCGATGGTATCCATTGATCGATTGGATCCAGCAGCGATTTATGGAAAGCTGAATTACTATTCTTCCAACTGACACCAATCACATTTGGATTTCATTTTTTTTTTTCAAGCTAGACATTAAGAAAAACTTCTCTTCCATTTCTATTTTATATCTTTAGTTTTAATTTGTTTACAAAGATTGGCTTTATACCATTTGGTTCAGCACACAGAGGCCTAAATCCCTATTAATTATTGTGTGGATCAGTGTAGCCGTTCTGTTTCGTGCAGAAAATTTTAATTTTTAGATTGCTGTAAAAATTCGTAATTTAGTTTTTTTTTGAGATGCGAATAACGAATATCAACTTTGTTTCTCTCTAAAAAAATATTTACTTTTAATAACACTTTTTAATAAATATTTTTATTTATTTTATTTATATTCGGTTTTTAATAAATATTGTATGTGGCAGATAGCCTAGCTAGTTACAAGTATGGGCACAATTTGGACCAACCAACAAACTGGGGTAGCTAAGTGGTAGGGCATTCAGCTTCCAATGTTCCAGTTACCAGGTTCGAATCCCGGTTCATGGCAGGAAAATTATTTATTCTGTTTCATTGGCCGTGGGGATACCCTCCTGGGGCACACCCAGTCTCTATAAAGTGGTTATCCTTAATTAATTAATTTATTAAGGTGGGAAACCTTGCGGTTGAGCATGATCCTGGCCCGATCACCTCCCTGCACATTGGCCTTGAAACAGTTTTACCCCTAAATAGTACTGAACCCACGACCCATTATGGGTTGTAGCGGTAGAGGTTTTTTCTTTAGGTTTAGGAACGGTCTGATGAATTTTCAATAGTATCGATGAATTCAGCGCTTAGTTTAGAAACTTGACTAACGATTTGCACGATATTTTATTAACGTATGTAATTAATTCCTGGAAATTCAGAGATTTTTTTACCTTCGTCTTTCCCATCACGGATTCAGGAAAATGTAAATTATAACATGTTGTAACACAACAATTATCTGACGTAACGCTACGTTTTTATAATGGCTTGTATCTTTTCATATCCCAACATTCTTGTTCTATTTTGTCTCATCAATGGAGTAAAGATAAAAATTCTTCAAATTTTAATTTTAATGCAATAAATGGAAAAATACAAATTATAAATCCACGAGTCTTCCTCAGCTGTGTTAATGGAACCTTCTGTTTCCATCAGTATGCATTTGGATGGCTTCCTGAGAGTGTCAATTGCAGATGTTTTCTTTTCTTTTTTAATTCTGCATGTTCTTGTTTTTTCTGTTCTGATGATGTCTGTATAGGCAAAACATTGGCAGTTGAACTCTTCACCTGTATGCTAGAGAGTCATGGATTTTTCCATTTATACGAGTAGCTTTTCGAACTTTCTGCTCATTTTAGTTAAATTTTAATATTTCATTATTCTGAATTCCTTCACTTACTTTTGATTATTTCTTAATTAATATTTTATTATTTATTATTTTTTATTGCGAAGAGACGAGCTATGGAGCACGCTAATATTCTTTTTGAGTTCCTTCCCCTTTGTCCCCCTTTTCCAAAGGTATTCCCTTCCGTTCTTTAATAGTGAAGTGCACTCCATTTACAGGCAGTCCTTTTCAGTCTATTTCTTTTGTAATCTCTCACAGGAACTTTTAGTTTATTAATTTTTTTTCATAAACTCATTCCTGCCTACGCAGTCTCTATTGATAATTTTAACTTGTTTTTAATTCTTAGTAAAACCTCTCACACATATTATATTGATTTAAAAAAAAAAATGTTTGTCGTTCCTGAAAGGATTCATTCTTATCAACTCGCAATTTAATTTCAGCCTTCTTTTTCATATTGCAGTTTCTAGTATTTCCATTTTCTCATAAATTTTGAGATTTGTTCTTGAAATTTATCCTTATTCAATAATTTAGTTAGATTCTTCTTAATATTTTCTTTTCAAATTTTTAGGAGTTATTCTAGATTGTGGATGTTGGCTGTTGAAGAGCATATTCTTCTTGTTATAAATATTTTTTGTAACGAAATTAATTTTAATGGGCAAAAATTAGTTTATTTGATAAAATCTAGTTTGGATTTATTAAAGGTTGGCGGATTTAGCAACTTTCATCTATATTTTTAGATATTATTTGTTATTTAACATCTACTTAATGAAATGGTTGAGTAAAGGGTAGCTCAGTGAATAAGCCACTGTGTTCCTATGTTCAAGATCCTAGGTTCGAGCTCGGCTGGCAGGTAATTATTTATTCTGTTACATCAGTGTTTGACTGTTCCTGGGATCAGGATTCCCTCCCTAGAGCATTCCCACCCCCTCCATAAAGTTGACTCACTTATGGTCCGTTGAACGATTGGAGTTCTTAATGATGTTCAACTGACCTCACACCAAATTTGAACTAAGTTCATATCATCAGTCTGTTGTAAGATTATATTTTACTAAAGATCAATTGATCTATGTTCAAGGGTTATTTGGCAGCATTGAAGGTGTACCATTATTAACCTCCCACCTGTTGTTCACTGTTTGTTTTGATTGTCATAATGTTTGTTATTATAGTTTTTTTTGACATGTAATATCTTAAAAGATCAAAAAACTTTATTTATAAAAAGGAATAGTTACTATTGACGCTATTGAAAAATTATTCCCATATTCTGGAATGCAAAAATAATTGAACCGAAGCTTGTGAAAAAAATATAAATTAGATTTACTCAGCAAGAAAATCATTGTTGGATTGGAATTATTTCAGCAAGAAAATGCTATTAATAAAGGACAGATGTAGGAAAAGCATAAATTTATCGTTTTTTTTTTTCATATTACTTTAGAAGTAATTAAAGAGTTTAGAATACTGGGCGGTCGAGCGTGATCTCTACCCAATCACCTCCCTTTACAACCGTTATGATGTACACGATTTACAAAATGTTATTTTTGGTTAAAGGATGTCTGCCTAAACTCTTCGTTTTTGGACGATATGCTATAAGAATAACTTATTTTTTTAGATGTCTTGATCAAACCCTACGGCCGTACCCGTGATGATGTCTTATACCTTAAGCTCTACCCTAGCCCTAAGCCTATTATGCTATATTAACCTCTCGGACTAAAGCGAATCATATTTCCTGTTATGTCACGGTTTGCTGACCACCGCTGTCGCACGGCTTCCTTGCAATTGTTAGGTAAGGCTTGGTTCCCCTTTCCTAGCTTCCACTTCCATATCGTCTTGGCCTTCCGCAGGAGTGTTATGGGAGTGTGCTTACCGACACCTAGGATGGTATGTCTTCATTAATTAATTTTAATGTAATGTATTTATTGAGTCATTTCATATGAAAACGCTGAAAATCCAAACAATTATACATCTAAAGTAACATTACCTTCCTAGTTACAAAGAAAAATAAATAAAAGGAGATTCCAATTATTGGACTAAACTTTTTTTTTTTTATCATTAGTAATATGCTAAAAACAATAGTATTACTTCAGTAAGACATTCAAAATTTAAAACCAAACAAAGGATATAACATTTGGAGTAGAACATAAAAAAAAAAAAAAAAAAACCGGAGACCATATTGTCCAATTTTAGCGAATTTTTTTTTTTGTTTAGGATATTTCGTAAACTTTTAAATAGCCATCAACAAAAAAGTGTATACTTTTTGAGTTATTCCGAATTTAATTTTACCATCCCTCGTAATTTTGTTTTAGCTTCTTTTCGTTGAAGTATGTTATATAGATAAATTTAAAGGGCGTAGAGAAAATGACTTTAGCGGAGTTTCATTGAAATCGGTACATTCGTTTAGGCGCTACAGTCTATAGCAAGGCAGGTTTTTCGGCCGCCATTTTGAAAGTAAAAGGCGGATAGTAATGTCGATGAAGGAGGATCATCCTCGGGTGACATCTGATTTTAAATCCAAATTAGAAAAAAAATCGGTCCAGTAGTTTCGGAGAAAATGCGCGGACGGCAGACGGACAAAAAATTTTTTATTCGTTTTTCGAATTCTACGCACCCTGAAACGTGAAACCTCAAATTTTGATAGGGGGTTAAGTTTTTGAATGTTGGATCACAATGTTTGATTATTGAAAATAATAAACCAATATGTTTACAATCATTCCGATTGATTGCACATTGTTCACAAGATTTTCGAGTAATTTTTTTTCTATGATTTTAACCTTGGACACTCGGCAACGCAAGCTGTAACATTTCCATGGCGTTGGGGGAAGAGTGTTGTAATGAATGAACCATTCGCCGTTGGTTTGAAAAAATTATTGATTTATGTGTGGTAGTTAATGGCAGGAATAATTTATTTCTCCTTTTTACCTAGAGGTGAAACCGTCATGTCTACATCGTACTATAGTGATGTTAACATATATAAAAAACTTGTCAAAAAATAACTGCATTGGTTAATCGGAAGAAACCTATACTCTAATTCGACAACGCCAGACTTCATGTCCACGATAGATCTTGAAGAAACTAAACGAGCTGTTACGAATTCCTTCCACACCTAACTTATTCACTTGTATTACCTCCAACAAATAACGATCTGTTCAGAAATTCGGATAACGACTTTAAAGGCAAAATTTCGTTCAAGTTCAAAAACGCATGCTCTGACTTCATTTCTTCACAAAACTCTGAATGTTACAGTTCATTGAATAGTTGATAACAAGTTGGGAAAAACGAAGGTAAATATTTTGAATAAGATTGTTTTGATTTCATAAAGTTGTTTAACTAAATAAATTTGTCTATGAAAACTGACATTTCTAATGAATCGAGCCAGTAGTATTGAAATGGTTTCGAGAATTTTTGCATTTATTTCTCATTTTTTCATTATAATGTTTTTGTATGTTACTGGAGGATCATTTCATGTCAAATCAGTAAACGAAAAATAGTTTTTTAACCTGCATGTTTCCGATTTAAAATATTTGTAGTGCGTTAGTTATATTTTCTAAATACATCACCTTATAAATTTATTTTTGTATAATTAGTTTTTAACATTGATTTCTAAAATTTTTGAAAAAGTCGAACAATACATGCTGACAGTAACCGCCATAACCAAGACGTTTGGCCTTGAGGCTGTAATTCTGTCAGAAAATTACGATTTTAACATCCATATAATTAAAGGTAATTGTAAAAGACTCCTTTCTAGAAGCGCATCGTCTGAACTGATTGTAACTGCTGTCGATTTTAGCCACTTAATTATTATTCCAAATGTTACATTTGTGGGCTTTTAAAAATTTAATCGTTTATTATTATTAAAAATAAATATTAAAAAAATCATCAAAATAGTTATCAATAATTTAATTAACTAGTAGGCCCCTGCAGAAATTCGCACAGTATATTTTGTTCAGTGATCAAATAATAAATTAATATGAAAACTAATGCGACGTATCGTAAAAGATATCAATTGTTACTTCCTCGCTAAATAAAATCGACAAAGGAAACAAAAATTAATTTAAAACTACTTTAATGTTTGGAACCAACATGTTTATAAATGTCAATAAGCTGTATTTTTGATAATAATCATAATTTATATAATCATAGACATAACCATAACGGTCAGTACACATTGTTTCAACGTCGCACTCATACTATTGCCATATGCTAAATATATAGTTATTTTATAATGAAATGGACTATAATAGAGCTCCCCTGATGGAATATTAATCAAAAATAAAAAACATAAATAATAAAATGAAAAAATCTCTTGGAAAAATTTCTAATCGATTTCGATGATTTTTTTTTCCTTTTTGTAGGGAATTTAGTAATTTTTTATATATCCATGGTCATAACCAAGGTAAAAGTGTTCCATTTTTGAGTTATTCGCAAATAAAGTTTCTTTTCTTTCATAACTTTTTTGCCTGAATTTTCGAGGTGATTGGACTATTTTTCCCGCCTGAAGGAGAAGAAAACCTTCTAAATTGGTGTCTCAATCTTGTGGATTTGATGAAGAGTTAACGATGATACGGCTTTCCTGATAAAAAAAAACACCATCAATAAATAATATAAATTCCTCCTCTCGCGATCATAGAGACCTCAAGTCGACGAAATGAGACATATATTCAATGATAGCCCTACAATTAACGTAAGGTTGTGTGGATGCGAACCCTATGCCTTGCGTTATCTCGCAAATAGTACGTTTTTGGGCTTAAAAACGCAGATCAAAATCTTCAAAGCCCTATTTGTCCTGTATCAATCTGCAGACTTCAATCAGACTATTAATCAGTCAGTGGAGGGCAATCCGAACGTTTAAGTGTAAATGTAACCTGATTTGATTTTTGAATGTTAATTTTTGTGCGCCATTTATCAAGCCAGTCTTGTAGAAGATTTAAATGAATCTGTGCTTTCTGGGATGCTGTGGTCGGATTAGAGTCGGTCGAGAGTATGACAGTGTCGTCTGCGTAAGCTGCGAGTAATGTGTCTAGTGTCTGTGGAATATCAAGAGTAAATTGAGTACAGAACCGGACCTAAAATACTGCCCTGCGGTACTCTCGCGCCGATTCGGCAATAATCAGAGTATTTACCATCCTGGTTAACAATAAAAAATCTATCCTCAAGGTACGATCTGAAGATTAAATAGTATGTATGCGAAAAGATCGGTTTAATTTTACAAAGAAGACCGTCATGCCACGCTTTATTAAAGGCCTATAACTACATAACACCATTGTTCTATTACATTTCAAGGATACTTAAAATTCTCACTATTTCTTAATAACCTCCTCCCCTATTATATGTTGTATGTAACCTGACTCGATACCAAGATATGTTGTTTTATTCGCTATTATAGAGCTGTCTAGTATGTAATAAGGAAATGAATGACGCCCACTAAATTGAATTTTGTATCGGTTTTTTCTTATTTTAATTTATTTTATGACTTCATATCGAAGGCGGACATCTGTCACCAAATTCGAAAATGAGTAGTTAGTTGTTTATTAATTCTTAAATCATTTTTCTCGGTCCATTAAATAGTGAAACCACTTTATAAAACAATAAAAAACCAACCACGTAAGTATGTTAAATTTAGCTTTAAAGTTTAAACTTATCAATTTGTTTAAAAAATAAGTGTATGTTTATTTCAAAAGTGGACATCTACCGAACATCAAACGGAGCAGCCGGATTCTGATCAGATGATTTTAATCTTTAGCATCAGAGCTTGCCTATTCTTTACTGAAGGGAAACGACACCAAAAGAAGGATTTATCAAATCGAAATGGAAAGTGGACTCTCTAAATTTAGGATGAAAAAGGAAATTCGCAGGCGTTTCTCATTGAAAAATTAAGCTTAACGTTTCCGTTTTTATATGATCTGAGATATAATGATATCCTTTGATGTGCGACCACTCTATTAATTATTTTGTCATCTTTCTAGATCATAATTGCTAATATTTCGGTAAAAGTGTGTGATATTCATCCATTACTATCTCCCCTCCCCCGGAAGCCGCTGCTAGGTTGGTTGCTAGGGGCAGAGTTTTGGTTGCCAACTATCTCAAAACTAGTTGCCGTAAGATAGACCGCGACCTAGATTGGACCCTCTGGCCCTCGGTGAGGAGACCATTGATCTTAGCTTTTCGGCAGATGCTTTCAGACATGGCGCCCATCATTACCTCCATTGTTTTCACTAGTTTTTAACTTGAAATGAATGTACTCATTTATATTCTCTTCAGCCATGGGAATCCAACAAATTATTTTCTAAGAGAAGTATTTGAAGCAAAACATGAAACGAAAAAACAACTTTTATTTTCAAAAAGATTCGGTACCGTAGAAAGTTTATTTTTGACAGTTTTTTAGTTCTTTTGGACTAGAACTTTACAGGTTGTACAGAACTTTTACTAAAAAAAAATCTCTTATTTAAAAGTTCTCTCGATTTTGCTAAAAAGTTTATCTAAAAATGACTTTTATCCATATTTTCCCATACAAACTACACATTACAATCATGTGTAATTCATTTAAGAAATTTTATAACTTTACTTTAAGCCTAATTGCTGTTTATTTGTCACGACCGAACTTTTTTCAAAAACTTTAATAAATACAAGTTACAGTTTTATCATAAACCTGGAACTTAATTACAAGTAAGTTACTTAGAACTTTTATCTAAAAACTTTTTTATAAAGTTTCAACCCCTGCTTGTAAATCCTTAATTCTTTGTTTATTTTTTTATGCTCGGAGGTGATTTGACCAGGTGTTTAATTAAAAGTATTCTCTTTATAGAGGCTGACTGGCACAGTAGCACACTAGGAGTGTCTTTTGCGATCCACGCCTGATTTAACAGAATTAAATAATTACCTAC